AGTCTGCGATCCGCCGTAAAGCAAGAAGAAGAAAAAGACGTGTCACGCGCCGACTGTCGAGGACACTCTCAGGACAGTTCAGACATTGCAGTGCATCAGAGGTAAAAAAAAAACTATATAAATACGGTTCAGTTTTTTGCACAGACCGATCGTTTCGTGTCTTTACACATCAGTGTATTGTCACGAGCCGCAGGGTTTAATTTGGTTTTGTTTGTGTATGTTTTATGACTCTCAAAGCCGTGATTCCCTTCCATTATAAGACTGACAGACTGCAACGTTTTGAGTTAAAAATCTCCGTTTGTGTTCTACTGAAGAAACAAAAAGTCACCTACATCTTGGATGCCCTGGGGGTAAGCAGATAAACATCACATTTTCATTTTTGGGTGAACTATCCCTTTAAATTGTTAGGTCAAATTTAAAACACATGTAATCACCTTATTTGTTTTATACCAATGTTATTTGCAAGGTATAAATACGTTTGAGTTAATAAATGTCTGTAAGAACACCGGGGTGGACTACATTTTTGTCATTTTATTAGATTATGTACGTGGCGCAGCTGTGGCTGCAGTGAAAAGAGACTTGTTGAATTTTGTTAATTGGGTTTCTTGCTTTAGTAATAGCATTCATTCTTTCTACGTGAGATACCTGTCTGTGATGCAACGTCCTGTTATATGCATTTCTGTGTAATATTGATGGTTTCTATAGCCGTGGCGTCATAATGATGGTATTAAGAGGTGGATTAATGCACGGCCTGCCACTGATTGTTATAAATTACATTTTATACATTACATAATTTTTTTTACATTTTATACCTTATTCAGATTTGTAAATATCTTGATTTTTTATATATATATATATATATATATATATATACGTATATTAATTCATATAGACATGTGATCAATCGTAAGCCATGCTGCTCTCTAGATATTGGTTTTGGAAGATTTGTGTTTATGTTGCTATCTGGGTGTTTTGAATGTATGCACATTTTAATATCAGACGTTTCTATATTTCTGCATGTATTATCTGTGCTGTTTTATTGTAGCATTATTTGAATCATTCCTGCATAACTGACTGATGTCTGCGTTTTCACTCTGTCCTCCACAGGAGTGTTTCATTCCGTTTGTGAATGGCAGTTTCTTCGAGCATGAAGGGCAGCCCTACTGTGAGGCTCATTACCACGAGCACCGCGGCTCCCTCTGCTCCGGTTGTCAGAAACCCATTACCGGCCGCTGCATCACCGCCATGGGCAAGAAGTTTCACCCCGAGCATTTCGTCTGCGCCTTCTGCCTTAAACAGCTGAACAAGGGCACATTCAAAGAGCAAAACGACAAACCCTACTGCCAAAACTGCTTTGTCAAGCTCTTCAGCTAGAGTCTGATGGTGTTGAGGAGAGTGTGTTTGAACATGCACGCCAATATCCAAAGTCCCAAGGGTCTAGTTTTACAGTTCGTCACAGTGTCATCTTGTGACGGTAGTGAGCATTACTTCAGCTTGTTCCTGTGCCAAAGCACTGTCAGAGAAGTGTAGATCTTCAGGGAGGCTATGACGATTTTTAACAGCCTTTTTCAAACGCTTTCCCTGGATCTAGAGACTAAATTATGGTCCTTAAATTGCGTGGAGCTATTTTAGATATTATCGACTGCATTGGACAAATCAAGATCTATTTTTATACTTGTTACACACACACTGAGCTTAACTTGAACATGCGTATGCACACTTCTGTTTGCACATTTCACATCTCTTTGCTGCTTTCTGGTATAACACTCTCTGTTATTCTATTTCACTTCTTTTCTCCACTGGCCACATCAGGTTTTTCTTAAAGGTGCAATAACAGCTTGGCACCATCAAAATCTCAATGCCATATTATGTATATTTTTCAAATTTTTGGTACTCTGTTTGCTCAGCCCTGATTTTATTGTGCATGTATTTCTCTGTCTGATTACTTTAATAAAGTGTGCTCTTTGACCTTTTTTTGTTGATGATTGTTTCTATTTTTATATTCATGAGTGGTCTGTTTTTCTGGATGGCTGGAGTGGTTTGAGCTTCCATCCTTATGCCTTTATGAGAGTTTAACTATGGAACCAACTTACTTCTGCTGTTATAATTACATATTTTATTCTTATAAAACGCCTTCTTAAAGAAACCAGTTTGGGCCCAGATGCCTGTTTCGTTGAGTATGTGGCGTTCCACAATGTGCCTATTGCCACCAGGCATGTTTTGTGATTTACTTACAATGATTTTTGTCTTAATTTCTTGTATGTAATCAGTTTGTGATGTACATTTTCCCCATTTTTCAATTAATCCGATTTCCTACTGTATGCAAGTAAATTAAAGTCTTAAAGGTTTTCTTTTTCAGGGTGGTGTCATATTTTGTTCTACATTGACTGATGACATGCACATTGTATTTAAAACTTGGGATCTAAATGGACTGTACAAGACATTGAATAAATACCAGGATCTGAATTTATGCATCGTTGATTTATTTGTGGTGTTTGCATTGAAATCTCATTAAAAGCTCGCAAAGTGTTGTGTTTTCTAGCTGTTGTAAGTTAATTTTGTATAAATTTCATTCCTAGGGAATAAATGCACCGATAAAGTGTATACCTTGAATGCAATGTAAGTCACTCTGGATAAAAGTGTCTGCCAAATGCATAAATATAAATGTTAATATTTTCCACATTCCACTAAAATAATCAGAATGACATTTTATAGTATGATAAAGAATGCTCGTTCATGAATGCATTCCGATGTCAAATTCCAAACTCAATTTTAAGACCATTTGGCTGTTACACTAATCTGGCTTTTTAGGGCCACCATATGATTTAATTGAAAGCCTCTTGCTAATATGCATTCAATATAATGTCTGAGCTCAGGCCTGTGAAATCACTTCTTGAATATATTGCACACGAAAACTACTGATTTTTACCTTGTGTTGCATTAGTGTATTGTTCAGTATCATAATCTAAAATGCACTTTCAGCAGAACAAATGGAGAAGTCAGCAAATTATTTCAGAACATTCTTTTTTGCTCAATTGGCAAGATGTAACAGGCCACTAAACTGCAGTTACTTCTTTGAAAGATCTTCCAGTAAATGCAATAGGTGGGTCAATGACCTTAAAGTTCCTGGTTTAGAAATAAAAGAAATCGTCTGAAACAACTGAATACAAAATCACTTATATATTGCTTAAAAGACTGGACACACATACACTATTATTAGCATTACATTAACTTGTGCATATTTAGAATAAGAGTGAAGTAGTAACCTGTAAAATAAACACTATTATTTAATTTCTTTGCCATTAATCGTGTTGCTCTCAAAGCCAAGAGTTCATGAAAAGCGGCACAAACTAGACGCAAATGTAATTTAATAAGGACCACACCACAAACACATCTGTTTTTAAGCCAAATGAAAAAACTAGATTGCAACAAGGTTTGTGGTTGACCTGACATCATGTTTTAAAGGGTTAGTTCACCCAAAAATGAAAATTCTGTCATTAATTACTCACAGAAAAGCATACGCTGTTTACATCCAGCTGATATTCTCCAAAATGGCACCAGGGTGATGCAGAGGAGACAAATTGTTGAATAGTCGTTATTTTTGTTTTCTTTGCGTACAAAAAGTATTCTCATAGCTTCGTAAAATTTAGGTTGAACCCCTGACGTCACATGGATTATTTTACTGATCTCCTTGCTACCTTTCTGGACATTAAATTGTGTTCAGAAGATAAACGAAGGTCTTACGGGTTTAGAACGACATGACAGAATTTTCATTTTTGGGTGAACTAACCTGTTAATGAAAAACGCGATTCGAAAGTCAATCAGTCATCATTTACTCGCCATAAAGTTGTTCCAAACATGTATGAATTTCTTTCTTCGGCTGAATAAAATGGCACCAGGGTGATGCAGAGGAGACAAATTGTTGAATAGTCGTTATTTTTGTTTTCTTTGCGTACAAAAAGTATTCTCATAGCTTCGTAAAATTTAGGTTGAACCCCTGACGTCACATGGATTATTTTACTGATCTCCTTGCTACCTTTCTGGACATTAAATTGTGTTCAGAAGATAAACGAAGGTCTTACGGGTTTAGAACGACATGACAGAATTTTCATTTTTGGGTGAACTAACCTGTTAATGAAAAACGCGATTCGAAAGTCAATCAGTCATCATTTACTCACCATAAAGTTGTTCCAAACATGTATGAATTTCTTTCTTCGGCTGAATAAAAAAAAAGAAGATATTTTGAAGAATGTGGGTAACCAAACAGTTTCTGGTCACCAATGACTTCCATAGTGTTTTTTTATGAAAAGTCTATCTGTATGGAAGTCAACCAGCAACTTTTTGGTTACCCACATTCTTCAAAATATCGTCTTTTAAATTCAACAGGAGGAGGAAACTCCACAAGTGTTGGTGTGTGAATAACAGAATTTTTATTTTTGGGTGAACTATCCCTTTAAAACATGTTAAAAATGAAAGCAATTTCATTATGAAGATATAGAAGAATATAATCAACCTACTCAGTTTCATCATGCCATTTTGAAAAGTAAGGTTGAAATATAATCTTCTCTAGTATGTCCCCAGTGTTGAATAGCACATGATAATCTGATTAAATATGATGTTAAGTGGTGAAACACTAAAATACATCAACCGTAAACTAAAAAACGGCTAAATTAATGCACACAATGAAAAGAAAAGACATACAGATACCATTATATTCAAGCTCCAAGCTTGAGTCTTGCATATCAAGCAAAGGACACTGATTTATTTGCATAGTTATAGCATTCAGATTTACATGCATCTCAGAAGCTATCATCAAGCACATCTCACACACACACACAAACACAATCAAACAGGTAAAATGCTCAAACGCACACGCTACATACATACACGCACATAAAACTTTTCGAATAAAGACCCAGTGCTCCGAGGCATTCTGGGCGATCTCCCTGTTAAAGGCGGCACTTTAAAATCAAAAAGACAGTTCTATGGAATAAATACAGTTAATCCAGAACAGACAAGTACTGCAATACGTTTAAAATGAACTGGAATGAAGAAAGTTGAGACAATCAGACAACGACAACCAGCTTTCATATCCTCCCCACCTTTGTAAGTAATGTTTCTCGCACATATAATCTGATCTATATACATGTTGTGTTGGAATGAATGTAGGAATGAATGGACTTCATTAGTGCTGCTCTTCTCTCAGTCGGAGTCTTCATCATCGAGATACTCCTCCGCATTACTGTGGGTCTCAGCAAAATCTCCACCACATCTAAAAAAAAAAAACACACAATAGGTTAAACATTTCATCTTGCCACTATTTGCCACTAAGTGCCGTTATTGGACAAAACAGGCTTAAACCAGCGTTCTTATAGGCTGTAAGTTTGTGCACAACTGCTGCAGATTCAATTTTAAAATGTGAAAACAATTAAAGCATGTGTGCATCTTTTATACCTTTATGTCCTCCGTGACAGGACCAGTAGAGAGCGGTGTTCCCAGCTTTGTCCAGTCCGTTGATGCCAACCTTATTATCCAAACACTCTCTGAGCCAGCTCAGATTACCTGCATTCACACACAAAACATTTGATTGTTTCACCATGTTACCAAATAAAAAAAATGCTAGATAGGTTTCTATTTGGGTACCTCGCTTGGCTGCTTCATGCATGGGGTTGTCTATGGACTCTGCTTGCTCAGCCACTGGAAAAAGGCAAATCACATCAAGATAAGAATGATACACCCACAGATGCATGTATATCAATGACTACAGGATACTTTAACCCACTTTACTGTCATCCAGGCAAATTTAGGTAAAGCTTTGAAAAGTAATAGCATATAATGCATAAAAAGAGAACTTGAGGTTGGGTTTTGTTCCAATCATTAACCCCCATGTGTATGTGCAATAGTAATAGTATTTCTAGGATTTCTTTAGCAAACACCACTGATTATCTCTAATAAAACTTTCCTGACGTCATAAAAGACTGTAAAAGTCACGTATACACTTTTGTGACCCTGGACCACAAAACCAGTCATAAGGGTCCATTTTTAGAAATTGGGATTTATACATCTTACACACTTAGAATAACTAAGCTTTCCATTGATGGATTTCCAAATCGGGAATCTGAGAGTGCTAAAAAATCAAAATATTGAGAAAATCGCCTTTAAAGTTGTCCAAATGAAGTTCTTAGCAACGCATATTACTAATCAAAAATTAAGTTTTAATATATTTACAGTAGGAAATTTACAAAATATCTGGTAACACTTTACTTGAAGGGGTGTGCATAAGACTGACATGACGCCTTCATAATCTGTCATATGAAGACAATGTATTGTTGGCTATTGCTACAAATATACCCCAGCGACTTAAGACTGCTTTTGTGCTCCAGGGTCACATTTTACAAAAGCCACCTTTACAGTCACCGAAGATGTTCTAGTGATGGATCGATGGTTTGTAGGTTCTAGTTTGCCGCTTGTTTTCCTTACCATAATTACTGGGAATAAGACCAGTCCTTCCCCTGCATGTCCCCTTCCACCAGTTACTGTCACTCTGAAAATAAACCCAGCAATCAGTACAAAATCACCAACACTGCCATGAATATAATGCTCTTTATCTCCATAATCACAGGAGGAACTATCAGTACTTCCAAGCGAGATTATAAACTTACTGTATCTGAGATGTACAAAATATCTCCTTCCTCAAAGTACAGTTCATCTGGCTGAAAAAGAGGAAAATATACATGATGAGCTCAATTCAGGCAAGCTAAAACAACCGAAACCAAAGGGAAAGAGTATAACTGAGAAGGAAACTCACCGTCCTTGGGTCAAAGGTGAATAACGCCCTGTACACCTTGACCTGACCTGTTGAAAACATTTGTATGAATGTTACTGATGATTGTACATTGAAGCATTCTTTCACACATTTCAGCTCTAGAGTTGTCTTATGTTCTGCTCATTATTGACAGGCGAAACAGATCAGTAAATATTCCACCTGTTAAACCTTATCTTTACCTATCAGCCCAACCATATGCAAAACACCATCACATCTACAACCAGGCAGTATCGCAGCTCAAATGCACGGCAAACCACATGACACAGAAATGTGCGTAAGTGTCCAAGCCAGCGGAACCCAAGCCCTGAGGCCCAAATGTATAAATTATCAAACCATTACAAGCAAGAACAAAGGGCATTTCCTGACTGCAAAGGTATTTCCATTTGGCCTATAATAAACAAGTGAGAAGCCCTGCTGAGCGGGATCCAACCGGCCCCTCCCGAACTTCCAGATCAGGCTCTGAAATAGAAACACTGGCCTCCACTGGATATAATCATTCTGTTTGCCCCCAAATTACAGTTACAATAAATTGTTAAGAAGTGTAGAAGTCACTTCAACCAGTAGCAAATCTTCTCTGCAATACTGACAATAAGATGTTTCTTAAAGTTGGAAGGCATGTCCGAGGTTCCCCTAGAATCTACACCACATTTTAATATTACACTATTAGTGTAAAAGTTAGTGTAACTTGAGTTTGGCCACTACTAAACAATACTGTGTTAAGTATTCCAAACATCCCATCTCACGCAACTGGTCAAATTTGCATGCTGGACGTCACAGACCCATATCCTGGGCAAACTGTACTAAGAGGACATCCTACAACTTGAGACAGGACCGATAAATAGTTCAGTTCAGTTTTCTAAATAACTGGTTCTTGAGTATCAAAAATAAATTTGTGACCATTTAGACAAATCAAGTGATTTTGCATGAGGGAATGGCATTATTATTAATAAAAAATAATATATAGTCATAATAGTGCTGGGCAGTATACCGAATACCGGTTTTTATTTTTGTTATGATATGAATTTTGAAAATACCGCAATACCGTTTATTGTCACTTAATATGTCACTTAAACAACGTTGGGAACGCGACACTGTTTGAAAGGGGTCTCTCTTTTCACTGTTGCACTGTGGTGAGGGAACAGCTGTATGTGTTACTAAGCGTGAAAGTTCAGAAACTGAAGCTGTAGAACTAATAGAACGTGATGACACAGAAGAACTCATCCACAATATCCACACTGACCACCACAAATATCCAGCGCCCGCTGCCATCAGCTCCCGCGTCTCACACACACACGAGCGCGACTTTAGCACTAGATTTAGCAACTTTCAGACCCTTTTAGCGGCTTTTCACCATAGAATATTCTTACTGACAAACCTAGCGACTTTTTTGGATAAAGCTTAACTATGGTTCAGTTGGAAGATTTCGCCAGTGCTGTCCCGCGA